TTTAAGCATCCACTGAGTAAGATTGTGATATGTGGTAGTCGTGGGTTGGTTTGATGAAGAGGTGGCGTAAAGTTAACATTGGTAATAGGCGTGATTAAAGATAATCATTGTTTTGTAACTGCACCATGCTGAGAAATGGTTCAGGGCGGTTAAGGAATCTAAAAAGCGTTGTGATTGACGTGACTGGAGTCATGTGCAATAAATGTTACGATGATTCAAAGGTCGCATCAAAATCTTGTGTATATGTTTAAAATAAGTATTTCTCAAAGGAATCGAAATACATATTTTAAAGGGGCATTTTGTTGGCTGAAGATTTTTGATGATATTATTAGAAGCAAAGCAAATTGGACGTTTCGATTGAAATGAAACAAGACGTCATGTTTCGAAATGGTAGAAGCAGTGCTTCGAATGGGCATATCAAAGCTTGGAGCTTCGAGTGACAGTTAGGAGAATATATTCAAAGTCTCGAAATGATAACAAGGTTGTGTCTAAGAAATGCGTTCGAAGCGAAGAAGTGCCAAAACATTTGAAATTCAAATGCAAGCGGGGTGTTCGAAATTTGAAATATATGCGCTGGAGCATTCGAAGACGCGTGGAAGCAAGAGAGAGGCATTACTCTGCATGTTCTTAACGTGGCAGAATCTTATAGCAAGACCGTTATGGTCGAAGTAGTATAAATAGAAGTCTTAGCATTAGGATTTAAGGTGTCATATCTATTGTACAAAAAACTCAGTAAACATTCAAATTACCACATGGCTAGGGAAACGAATGCACGAGGAATGTACGTATGATAACACCACATGTTTATGATTTAATGAAAACTCTTTATCATTTCCAGTACTTTCCTTTATCTTCATGTCAATAACATTTACAAGCTTTTGCATTTAAAATGTTTTCATTCGAAGTCTTTTTACTGATGCCTTACATTTAAATGCTTTCTTTCCATTTCAAATACTTTAAATTTCAGAAACTGTTATACATTTCATGCCTTTATCTTTAAGCTTTTATCATTCGAACACCTTTTTCACTTAAAGTCATTTTACAGTTTTCTTGCATTTAAACGCTTTCTTCATATCTAGAATCTTTTACGTTCCAGAGAATCTTTTACATTACATGTTTTTATGCTTCAAAGTCATTACATGTTTTTATGCAGTTTTTACATGTCTTTACAATTTAACTTTGTTAATGTAATTTGGTTTCGCGTACATTTACTTGATCATGCCTTTAGAATTTAATAGAGTAATCAAAGTAAAGTTAAGCACATACACAACATTCCAAATACCAACCATGAATACCAGTTCTATCATGAGAGCTACCCTAATGACCAATACATCCTATGATCAATCTAGTCGATCATGCGAGTTACCAGAGAGATTGAATAACAGTCAATAAGATTATTCGATAGTTTGGAGGACTAGCGGTTGTTTACCAGAAATCACTGGAAACACCTTCACAATTCCCGACAAATTCAATGCAATAAACTTGGTCGTTCTCGTATCTCCAGTTATCGTGTCGTGACCAATACCACCACCTTAGAATTGTAGGTCGACCGTAGACCTAGTTTTTTTGGTAGACCGATCGTCCTTAGGGTCTTAGATCGACCGTAGATCTAGATTCCCCTGTAGGTCGTCCATAGACCTAGTTTTTTTGGTATACCGATCGTAGGCCTCACCTTACCTTAGGATCTTAGATCGACCGTAGATCTACTCCTACTCCTACGCCTACGCCTACCCCCTACCCCCCTTGTTGTAAAACCCTTTGTTGCACTTGATTAATTGCCCTTTGTTGTTCAAAATGAATGGTTTCATTTTTGTAATTTTTGAATTATTCCAAAGTTGTATAAATTAATTAAATTCAATTTTTCTCGTTCTATCTCGGAATAACCATTCACTCGAAACCAATATGCTTCCATTTCTACTTTTCTTAAACGGGACCGGGCTTTTTCCAACTGTTCAATGGCTCCCTACCCCTCTACCCCCTACTCCTACTCCTACCCCTACGCCTACCCACGCCTACTCCTATCCCTACCCCCTACGCCTACCCCTACCACCACCTTAGAATTGTAGGTCGACCGTAGACCTAGTTTTTTTGGTAGACCGATCGTCCTTAGGGTCTTAGATTGACCGTAGATCTAGATTCCCCTGTAGGTCGTCCATAGACCTAGTTTTTTTGGTATACCGATCGTAGGCCACACCTTACCTTAGGATCTTAGATCGACCGTAGATCTACTCCTACTCCTACGCCTACGCCTACCCCCTACCCCCCTTGTTGTAAAACCCTTTGTTGCACTTGATTAATTGCCCTTTGTTGTTCAAAATGAATGGTTTCATTTTTGTAATTTTTGAATTATTCCAAAGTTGTATAAATTAATTAAATTCAATTTTTCTCGTTCTATCTCGGAATAACCATTCACTCGAAACCAATATGCTTCCATTTCCACTTTTCTTAAACGGGACCGGGCTTTTTCCAACTGTTCAATGGCTCCCTACCCCTCTACCCCCTACTCCTACTCCTACCCCTACGCCTACCCACGCCTACTCCTACCCCTACCCCCTACGCCTACCCCTACCCCTCCCCTACTCATACTCATACTCATACTTCTACCCCTCCCTACTCCTACCCCTACGCCTACCCACGCCTACTCCTACCCCCTACGCCTACCCCTACCCCTCCCCTACTCATACTCATACTCATACTTCTACCCCTCCTACTCCTACTCCTACCCCTACCCCTACCCCTACCCCTACTCCTACTCCTACTCCTACCCCTAACCCCCCTACTCCTACCCCTACCCCTACTCCTACTCCTACTCCTACTCCCCCTACTCCTACCCCTACTCCTACTCCTAACCCCCCTACTCCTACTCCTACTCCTACTCCTACTCCTAACCCCCCTAACCCCCCTAACCCTACCCCTACTCCTAACCCTAACCCTAACCCTAACCCTAACCCTAACACCCTAACCCTACTCCTACTCCTAACCCCCCTACCCTACCCCTACTCCTACCCCTAACCCCCCTACTCCTACCCCCCCCCCTACGTCTAATCCTACCCCCCTACTCCTACTCCTACCCCCCCCCCCCCCCCCTACTCCTACCCCTAACCCCCCTACTCCTACCCCCCCCCCCCCCCCCTACTCCCACTCCTACCCTCCCTACGTCTAATCCTACCCCCCCCCCCCTACTCCTACTCCTACCCCCCCTACTCCTACTCCTACCCTCCCTACGTCTACTCCTACCCTCCCTACATCTACTCCTACCCCTACCCCTAACCCCCCTACTCCTACTCCTACTCCTACTCCTACTCCTACTCCTACTCCTACCCCTAACCCCTAACCCTAACCCTAACCCTAACCCCTAACCCCTAACCCCTACTCCTAACCCTAACCCCCTACTCCTACTCCTACCCCTACTCCTAACCCTAACCCCCTACTCCTACTCCTACCCAACCCCAACCCCTACCCCTACCCCTACCCCTCCCTCACCCCTAACCCCCTACCCCTACTCCTACTCCTACCCCTACCCCTAACCCCCCTAACCCCCCTAACCCTACTCCTAACCCTAACCCCCTAACCCTAACCCTACTCCTACTCCTAACCCTAACCCTAACCCTACTCCTACTCCTACTCCTAACCCTCCCTACGTCTACTCCTACCCCTACTCCTACCCCTACTCCTACTCCTACCCCTACCCCTCCCTCACCCCTACCCCTACCCCTAACCCCCCTACTCCTACCCCTACTCCTACTCCTACTCCTACTCCTACTCCTACCCCATAACCCTACTCCTAACCCTAACCCCCTACGCAACCCCTACCCAACCCCTACCCCTCCCTCACCCCTACCCCTACCCCTACCCCTCCCCCCTACTCCAACTCCTACTCCTACCCCTACCCCTACCCCTCCCCCCTACTCCTACCCCTCCCCCCCTACTCCTACTCCTACCCCCCCCCCCCCCTACTCCTACTCCTACCCTCCCTACGTCTAATCCTACCCCCCCTACTCCTACTCCTACCCTCCCTACGTCTACTCCTACCCTCCCTACGTCTACTCCTACCCCTACTCCTACTCCTACCCCTACCCCTACCCCTACCCCTAACCCCCCTACTCCTACCCCTACTCCTACTCCTACTCCTACTCCTTAACCCCCTACTCCTACTCCTACTCATACTCCTACCCCTAACCCCACTAACCCTACTCCTTCTCCTACTCCTAACCCCTAACCCCCCTAACCCCCCTAACCCTACTCCTACCCTCCTACCCCTACCCCTAACCCTACTCCTAACCCCCCTACGCCCTCCCCCACCCCCCACCCCCCCTACGCCCTCCCCCACCCCCCACCCCCCCTACGCCCTCCCCTACCCCCCCCCCCCCCCCCCCCCCTACCCCTACCCCTACCCCTACCCCCACCCCTACCCCTACCCCTACTCCTACTCCTACTCCTACTCCTACTCCTACTCCTACTCCTACTCCTACTCCTACTCCTACTCCTACTCCTACTCCTACTCCTACTCCTACTCCTACTCCTACTCCTACTCCTACTCCTACTCCTACTCCTACTCCTACTCCTACTCCTACTCCTACTCCTACTCCTACTCCTACTCCTACTCCTACTCCTACTCCTACTCCTACTCCTACTCCTACTCCTACTCCTACTCCTACTCCTACTCCTACTCCTACTCCTACTCCTACTCCTACTCCTACTCCTACTCCTACTCCTACTCCTACTCCTACTCCTACTCTACCATTATTATTATCATTTTTAAAAATCCAACCATATGTAGAAAAATATAAGTTCCAAAATAGTCCTAATATTTATCGTTAATTTGGCAATTTTGCTTAAAAGACAAATTTCATGGAGCGAAAATTCAGAAAAACTTTTTTTTTTTACAGTGCACTGTATAGTGTATACAAGTTGTATAGTCTAAACTAACATAAAATTCGTCCATCCTAACAAAGTACAGTACAGTTTCATTCAGGGGATAGATTTGACTTGAAAAATATTTATGACCGTGAGGCACCCGAAACCAAACTTTTGAGAGCAGGCATTTGGCTCTCCATAATCTCTCTAATTCTATTTGATGCACAACTGTCTTCCTGCACAAAATAGAAAAAAAGAAAAAAAATAGTTTACAATCTAAACATTGAATTGGGCGGGCATTCAAAATAATCTTATACACATTTACAAATATATCAACCACTCCCAGAAATATCACATACCCATTTTAAAATAGTTAATGCAACATGTTCTTGTGAAATTCGGATTTATTTTCTAATTATTCAACAAAGACATTGGAAAAAGTTGCTCGAGAAACTTCAATTCCAAGTCTTACTCACGTTTAAAACTTAACAGAAGACGGTTTAGAACAAAAGTTTGATTACTTTGATATCTTAGAGAAGAATGATCAAAATTCTGTGAGATCAACCATAATAACGTGTATAAATGAACAGTGCATGAAAAGAAACTACTCACGTCATCAGGAGTAGCTGATAGTGTCAAAAGAGTAACGGCAGCAGCTTGATAATCAGCTATAATCTTGCAAGCTGTCTCGTCAAGCTTATCCTAACAAATAAAACATGTGAACCAAAATTAGGGAAAAGTTACAGAAGACGTTTTACAATATTTTATGGATATTTGAATTGTTTTACTAGTAGCTTACAAACCCCCCATTAACTACTTTAGGTTCTCTAAGATATTATTCATTCAGATTTTGATAAAACATAAGTTAAACATATATTACTGCAAGCTTTCCAGTCCTAAAGAGTGTTCATTGTTCTTGCAGAATCGATGAGAACTATTTTTCCTTGGTTGACTAGTACTTAACAAACACACACTATTTGCTACTTTAGTTGCCTAAGATATTCATTCAGCTTTTGATAAAAAATACGTTAAATATATATACTTTTGGAAGCTTTTCAGTCCTAAAAAGTAATCATTATTCATGCAGAATCCATGAGAACTATTTTCCTTGATTGCCTGCTGTCAGATTATTGTCAAAACTAGTGCAAAAATGAGCCTAAAATCTATTGCCTGTGAAGTATTATGCTCTGATAAGTGTATAGGTGAAACAATTATCTCTCAACAAAATAAGTGCAAGAAAGCTAATAGTTTTTACCACTATAAGATACGGTTAAATGCAAAAAAAACCTAGATATGGTTAAGTGCCTGTGAACTATATTTGAGAATGTAAAAAAACCCTAGATATGGTTAAATGCAACATACAAGAATCATGACTAACACTTTTGCATTAAACAGCCATTCAAGTGTAACATGGAATAGATTATGCTCTGATAAAGTTTTTATGATCTATCTGAGATATTGAACAGCAAAACAAGTAAGAAACCACATATAATGTCCATATCTTTGTTAAATATCACCACCAAATCATATTTTAAATACAAGGGCAATGAGGCATCACTGTTTATCTCAGAGTTCAACAACGTTTTTCAGTACTTACTGTCAGTTGATATACAAATACTTGTTTTGATTTCGGCAATTACTATTATTTCAGTTGTCTTGATGCATAATTAAGCATATGGAAAGAACATACCGTCAATTGAGAAATAGCAACAGAAATGGCCCTTCCAGGGGCTTGTAGAGCTTTATGGTAAACCTGTTAATACAAATACATGTTAATGATGGGAATAAGAGTTTTTTTTTTTTGTTGAGGTGAGGGGGAAGTAGCATCAAGTTACCTGGACATAGAGTAAAGACACGACTTTCGGCAGAAGTGATACAGGGTCAGTCTCAGCCGAAACTTGAGATGTCAATTCCTGATGATAACAGTGATAGAAGACACGGTTTAAGATCATCCAAATTGCAGAATATCATGGCAAAAACAAACAAAAATTCTATGTAAAATGGACGGGTCTGCTAATATTAGGAATTACAATTTAAACAATCTTGAATATCAGATATAGCATACTGAAATTGAAAAGAATATCAAATAAATGTTTAATAATGGGGCCTTGCAAACCAAAGTCACGTGAAATATAGTCCTTAAGCCAGTGGGAAAATATCTCATTGTTGCCTATGGGTATTTACAATTGAAGTTGGTCCATGTGACTCTATTCACTTATTAAAGCCTCGTTTAGGGACCAAATATTACACTAAAATCTTTTGCTTGAATAATATATTTTCTTGAGCCCGCTGTTTGGCTCTTCCTAGCCATGGCTGTCATTAAACATTGGCCTCAATACAATCGGGACATAAAGAAAGTCCTCTCCAATGGTAATTTACAAGTTTACATGGATTAACTACCTGGATTTATTGCTAGGTGGGATTTGGGTTGGGGTGCAAGCAGTAGAAAACATTGTATGGTCTGAAATAATCATCTTGGTGAAACCGACAAGAACTAAATATAGGACATTCTTGGAGGTTACTTTGAAAGTTGAAATGTCCCATTATAACAACCACCAAAACAAAAGCTTTTACGCACTAGCTGGGGTTTGTTACATCTACCTATCCATCTATCTATCTATCTATCTACCTAACTATCTATCATGATAACGAGATTAAATATCTCCTTAGTAATGCTCGTGAGTGCAGTAAGTAAATTCCTTGATTCTACGTGTGACTCTAACCGTGATATTGTTGTTCAAAGACATAGATACGTTCGAAGAGCATTTACAAAAATGTTAACTAAACAAAGATAGCAAGCATGTGTAAATTTGTGCTTATATAGATGCCAGTTGGGAAGCAAATTTATCTTATTTAAAAGCTCTATTTTGGCCATGACACTGTTTACTTTGGAGGAAATATAATATCATGGAAAAGAAGCAAACAGTTTTCAAATCAAGTGCAAAAGTTGAGTATCAAATGATGGGTATTGAAGCCTATGAACTGCTGCTCTAACAATTTAAACAACTATGAATTGCAACCAATGAAACTAGTGTGGCAACCATGTTGCACTACATATATCTTGAAATCCTATTTTTCCTGAAACATATTGAGATTAATTGCCATGTTGCACCAGACAAAATTCAAATGCAAGATATCGTAACAATATCCACATTATATTTGTCAACTTGCATACACTGAGGCCTTTAGAGGTCACCAGACCAGCTATATACATGACAAGCTATAATAAGTGATTTCCAGCTCCACGGAAAGTGTAAGAATATCTTAGATAATTAAGCTACTGTTTCACCTGTGTCGTAGAATCAATTAGGAGCAATCTTAGGAACTATTGTAGGATAGAAAACTGAATATCTTGAATCGTTGTAATTAACACTGACATACATGTATATAGGAGAGGATGTAAACAGAAAAATGGTCTAACTAAGGCCCAATAAGAGGGCATAGGGGGGCAGCAAGATTAGAGGAAAATAGATAAGTCATTGGCTAGGGAAAGGGTTGTCAGTGCATGTGGTATCAAGCAAGTTGTTCATTTGCATTGTTGTGGTAGGGTATTGTGTCTATTTTATTGGTGGAAGGAGCTGAGCTCCATCATTATTTAAGTGGAATTGGTATGTCTTATAATAGTTGTAAACAAACTAATTCAGGAGTATTTCTTCTTGTCATTCTAAAGTTTTACCAAACTTATAGTTTCAGTACATACCTTACGATATGAATGTAGAAGTGTCCTTTCTAGTTTCTTGTCTAGCTTTTTCAAAGGCAGCCCGCTGGAAAAATTAATCACATGAGGTTTAACGTCAAGAGAGAAGCTTTGGTAAAAGCAACGCTATAAGTACTACTAACAAAAAAGACAAGTTATTACCTCTCTTCTGTCACAGCTCTGAATGAAGACATGAATGTTTCCACCCTCTATTGTATTGAATATTCAAATATTAGTTGCAGCATTCAAAAATCAAACAGAAAAATAAGTTTCAAGTTATAACAAGATATTTCCAGCCAACCAGCTGCAATTGTGAACTGATGAGTGATTGAGTGAACCTTATACAAATAGCCTTAACCATAATGTTTCAGAAATAAAAATGCTTACCTTTCCTTCCAATGCTTCTACAACAGCAAGAGCCTTATTTGAAAGAGCTCCTGGAAAACTCTTGGACTACAAAAGAAAATAACAATAGATGTAGTATTTGAAGTCATTTTATGTGTTCCACTAAAGAAGATAGTTTACAAATATCTAAGATTTGATATACTAAACGCATCAGAACAGAAAAGCATAACTTTCCAAGTAATGTAATATTCTTACTGTTGAAAACTTAATATAGCTATTGTTCCAGATTCAAAGTAGAATTAAACTTCACTGTATCATAGGATTCATTGCATATTAAGATTGGTAGTATCTTGTGAAATTATGTTTGCTTTGATTAAACTTCTTGTGAAATTTATTCATTCTGATTCTGACTATAAACATCATTATGCAGAGTATTAATTATCATTTCATATTTTCCTCTCAAGTCTTACAATTGCAGCTCTATCTCCAGGACTAAACGAAATAGACTCAGAATTTGGAGATTCCTGCACTTCTACTCCGCTCTTTAATTTGTTCTGCTCATCCTGCAAAAGGATGAATCCATAGTGTTTTTAGATCTTATTACACCTCAAGAAATATCAACAGAATAATTGCTGTATATAATACCAAGTCATGAAGAAGCATGTCAACCATAGGAGCTGCTACTGTCCTTAGTAAATGCCTATGCAAAACAACCTGGGCATCAAAGATACATTATTTTATTCATGTTTCAACAGTGAAAATAACATTTTCAAATTTCAATTAACTTGACTTACAGAAGTTGATTGATCATCTTCAAACAATTCTAAGGCTTTTTCATACAGTTGCATGTTTAAGAAAGACTGCCAAAAAACAAATCACACAAGGACATGTTCAGATAAGTATCCAATGAGAGCATCTTTAGTGGGGTGAATAATAAGGAACTAAAATGGATTAATTAATTTGTATTTTGTGGGACCAAATTGCCAAATAGGATTTAAAGAATTTGCAATTGATCTATTCTTTTTTTACTTTAATGGTGGTTGTTTATAAATAACTCAAAGGTGACCCCACATATTTATATTTATTTATTTGTAATTATTTTTAACAGTGAACTCAACACTATAAGAATTTATTATCTTTCATCTCAATAATATAAAATTGTTATTTTTATGACAGATGAGATTTAGTTGCCATTGCTTCTATAGAGCATCCAAAATTATATATGATGCCATGTCATCTTTCTATAATGCCGGTTGTCTACAAGCAACGTAAACTATAACAAACGTTTGCCTTACTTTACCAGCATTAAAGATGCTCTAAGGAAAGATTAAATAAAGTACCAACATTGACACAGTGGACGAAGAAAGTACAAAAAGATACTACAGAGCAGTCACACCTCATCGAGTTTTTTCTGCGAATTATCAAGCAATTGTTTCATTCTTTCTGCATTGTCTTTAAACAATGCCTTCCTTTTCTCCATCCAAGTATTGATTATTGTGGGCCTTTAACTTGTTAGCCAAAGGCCTAAGAATTGTTTCAGGATCATCAATACCTATCAATTAATAGCACATAATTTAAGAAATTGGATAAAATGCATATGCAGAAAGAGTATATCCAAAGTCATAATTAGAAGACCTTGTTCTTCAAAATCAGGAACCAAGGCTGTAATCTTCTCCATGATCCATTCTTCTGAGGGACTACTGAGATTATCCTCTTTCATTTTAAGTGATTCTTTCCTAGAGCCTTGCTTTGAATCTGATGTTTGTGAAGATGTATCCTTACCCTTTCTCTGGCTTTTCTTAGATTTGGTAGAAGTATGCTCTTGGTTATCAGCACCACTTTCAGATTGATTTGCTAATGCATTTCCAGTGGCTTTCCCCTTTTTCTTCTTTGGCCCTTTATCAGCATGCTTGTTGGAGCCACTGTCACTTGCCATTTCACTGGACACACTCAACCTGCTTGAATCATACCCTGCTTTTACTTCATTGGCTATTGGTAAATCACCAGGTTTTACAGTGCCCAAAGACCTTGAAACAGCTAATGTCTCTAATTCTTTCACCGTACAATCGCAAATGTCCTAATAGATGGGGGACAGAAGCATTTAGACATTAGGAAACCAGTGATATAAAAAGAAGAAAAAAAGTTACAGATAGACATATTCTATTCAACAGTAACTTCATTCTTGGCTGTTGGCACTTAAGTACCAAAAGGGGGAAGGATAAAGAAGCCAAAATCTGGATGCAGTGAGGAAATACATTATAGGAAAGAATTCTTAAGCCCAGCAGGATGCACACACATTAATCACGCATCTAATACAACTGTTCTGTACAATACATGACACTGCAGTCATTTTATATCATCACTATTTTTTTGGAGTTCCCATGCCACGGTAGCTATGGAATGGTTAATTGGTGACCATGAAGTAATTTGATGTACCATTTGATTCAGCACCTCTGAATCTATTGCAAGCAAATTCAATATAACTAGCACAATTTTTTGTTCTCATTGACTATACTCGCGGAAAATTATGTTTATTAAATCTTGTAAACCAATATTTAAACCAGGCCTTATTAGTTGCATTTGCACCACAAAATCAGTGACATGGCTCGTAGAATTAACTCAAGGATCTTGAGGTCTATGTGACTACAATAAATTCCACAACAAACCTTCATAAAGCTGCTGCTCAATACATAGAAGTCCCCAAATATATGTGCTTTGTTAGACTGCAAAAAAAAAAAAAAAATTTATCAAATTGAGACTCGACAGAGCAAAGCGCAAATTAATAAGGTAGCTAGTATCACCTTAAGAGCCAATTGTACAGATTGACAGAGGAACAACATTTTAGATGCATCTTGAGGTGTAAAAGATGAGGGCAATAAGGAAAGAGAATCACTCCTGCAACATTTTCATGTCAGTAAGGATTTGATGCATTGAAAAAATATCGAATGTGTAACTAACTACAACTTTTGTAAACAATGTAAAGGGATTCCTTGAACTGCATGTGTGTGTGTGTGTGTGTTTGTTTGTGTGTTTTGTAAACAATGTAAAGAGATCTCTTGCACTGTGCGTGAGTGTGCGTGTGTGTGTGTGTGTGTGTGTGTGTGTGTGTGTGTGTGTGTGTGTGTGTGTGTGAGAGAGAGAGAGAGAGAGAGAGAGAGAGAGAGAGAGCATAGAAGAGAAAGGAGAACGGGAACAGTCATTATCATCCAGTTACCATAATCATTATCCATATGAAGAAAGTAATGTTAAAATAACAAGGAAACAGCTAGCACGTTAAAGACCCCTTAAAGCTTATCTATGAGCATGTTTTGTAGTCTAATTTGGACTTTTTCCCTGTGCGAACAACTAGGTGATGCAGAAGTAGGAAGAGTGAGGACAAATCAAGGTATTGAATCTGATCAACTTACCAACGTAAAAAGGGATGAAACAGAAACAGAAACAGAAATTGAGGATTGGGGTGGGGCTTATGCTAAGTGTCTTACCAGCTACCACGTTCTAGAGCATCCTCAGTAGCAGCATCTAGCATCTCAATCATTGATGGGTGAACAAATGTTGTAACAAGAGGTTTGCCTTCAGGATATCTGGGACTAAATTAGATTGTGCAAACTTAGGCTTCATTATGAAAACATTTAGTACAGAGTATTTATTTCACAAATATCTATATATGATCCAAATGGTTATTATTTGGATATAGAATCAACATAAGAACAACTTAGTTACCTGCAAGAATTGAACGGGCTGAGGAATTCCAAGTTTTTGCAAAACGTCATAGCTGATAAAAGAATTCTAAAGCACACAAATGCAGCACAACATGAATGGAGCAGTTCAGTAAACAAGTACATTCAAACAAAGCCTATAAAGACAGTTATCTAGCTCAAACCAATGGATCATATGCTATTATTACTAGGTGAAATGTTTGGCATCTTAAGCAAAAGAGAAAAACGATAGAAGAGAGAGTTCATACTTGTGAAAAGAATGAATCCACAGATTCCTTTTGAGCAACAGCAAATACCTATCATGTGACATAAAAACACAATAAACAACTTCAAATAATTAATATGGGAACTAAGTTAATGGCATCAATGCATATGCCACAACAGTTGACTACTAGTACTGCCACTGCCCCCTATAGACACTAACAGTAAAAGGATTATAGAGTTATAAATTAGAGGTGGAGTATAGCAAAAGAATTTGGAAATTATCCCAATTTTTGTCAATCAAACAATTAAACAATAATGTGTAACAAGAAGTGAACAGCTCCAAATGCCTAAATCAAATATGAAAACCATAAAATTCAGGCATCAATTAAAGAAATATCCAATCTATGTCAAATCATGTCACTCACAGCTGGTGTCCAATGCACTCCAGCACGTACAGACCCTGAAATTTCACCTCCCTTCACACGTCCATTAAACAAAGACTGGAAGAAAGATCCATCAACAGCCACACCACTGGCTCCATCCATTTCTTGCAGTAAATTCTGCAACGAGCTCCATAACACTGTCAAATTTGTCGGAACTGTAATGCCCCTAGAAGCACCTCGAACCATGGCACTAACACGAGCAACATAGGCAGGAGTATACAACTGCCCACCTTCAAGCCTTCCTTTAACCTATTCTCAAAACAATCATTTATCAAATCACAATTTCCACTTACCACTCCAAAAACATACCAAAACCAACACAAAACAAAACAAACAAACAAACAAACAAAACTCACTATAGTTCCAAGACGCGGCTCCAACACAGACGCAATCAAATCCAAACCAACATTCAATTGCGCAGCAAGTTCCGTCAAAGCAATCTGACTACATTCTTGAAGCCTCTCGTTAATCTCTTCTGCAATCGAATCCCAGTAAGATTCCGTAACGATTTCCCCTTGAGTCAACATCAATTCCCCATGATCAGTTATAATACTCTGAGCCAATTTCTCAACATAGTACAAGTCAACTCCAGTAACATCAGCAAGATCAATCACAGAAATTCGCCCTAATCTGTTCACCTCAGTCACCATCTCATTTCTCAGTTGATCCTATCGACCGTATAAACAAACACTTGATTAAGATCAATTATAACACAATGAATTAGGTTAAAAGCAAGAAAATACAATCGATTATCAAGAATCAAATCCGTTAAACCTAATTGCAAAAAATAATAAAAGACGAAGCAAAGAGCGTACGAGAGTGATGTACTCTTTGTCGGAAGCAGTGTGAAGAAGCTCGAAATCGATGACTTGAAGTTGCTGCAATTTCTGGACTAATTCAACGACGTTTCGATCGGATAATCGAATACTGGACTTCGCTTGTTGAGCGAACTCGAACTGTCTCTGCAACTCGAGCAATTCGTCGTCCATGTTTCGATCTTCACGGACGCGGTGAAATTTGCAATGCCTTTAACTTTTGATCTTTCGCGATTTCTAATACTGTTGCGTGTTTTGATGATCCCTGAAAATGATGCGTCGTTCTTCAGTTTTTGGGACTATAGTGAAATAGCGAAGCGTTTTTCAGCCGTTTCTTCGCCCTTGATTGTTTCTTGCTCAATAAACAGTTAAATTTCTGAAAAGTATGTCATGTTTTTTATTTTTTTTATTAAAATTGGTTTTTTATACATTTTTTAACTATGTTTTACCTTGTTGATATAACTTGTTGAAAAGATATTTTTGTAGAAAACAACGTTAAATAAAAAATTATTAGTTTTTTTACTTTTAAAAATATCTTTCACAAAAATATATTTGATTTTTATGTTAAAATTTATAACAAGAAATCACACACGCACACATTCTTTCAAGTATGAGTAGTGTAAGGGTGAAGTATTTTCATAAGATATATCAAGAAATTAGACATGTATTTGACTTTTTAAACATGACTTGGGTAAGGGTGAAGTGTTTTCAGCGAAGTGATTTCATAAGGCATATTAATAAATCAATGTACACGACGCCCCAAGCATGAGCCATGTAAGGGTGGAGTATTTTCATAAAGTATGTCAAGAAACTTAACATGTACACAGTCTCCCAAAGATGAGTTGTATAATTGGAAAGGGCTTTCATAAGTATATCAAGAAATCAAGCATATATATAACCACTCAAAGATGAGTAGTTGTTGGCTGAAGATTTTGATAATATTATTAGAAGCCAAATGAATTAAACGTTTCGATCGAAATGAAGCAAAGCGTCATGTTTCGAAGTAGCAGAAGCAGTGTTTCGAATAAGCATGTCAAAGCTGGAGCTTCGAGTGGCAATTATGGGAACATATCTAAAGAAGTCTCGAAATAACAACAAGGCTGTGTCTGGGAAGTGCGTTCGAAACAGAGAAATACCAAAGCATTTGAAATTCAAATGGAAGCGGGACATTCGAAGTTTGAAATTTATATGTTGGAGCATTTGGAGACACGTGGAAAGAAGAAAGAGGCATTGTTCTGCATGTTCTGAACGTGGCATAATCCTATAGCAAGACCGTTATGGTCGAATTAGTATAAATAGAAGTCTTAGTATTAGGATTTCGTGTGTCATATCTATTGTACTAAATACTCAGTAACATTCAAACTACCACATGGCAAGGGAAACGAATGCAAGAGCAATGTACGTATGATAGCACCATATATTTATGATTTAATGAAAACCTTTTACCATTTCCAGCACTTTCCTTTATCTTTCTGTCAAATAACATTTATAAGTTTTCTCATTTACAGTCTTTTCACTTCGAAATCTATTCATTAAAGTTTTACATTTCAATGCTTTCTTCACATTTCAAGCACTTTACATCTCAGAAAACTGTCATACTTTACATGCCTTTACCTTCAAGCTTTATCCTTCGAACGCCTATTTTTACTTAAAGTCATTTACAGATTTCTTGCATTAAACGCTTTCTTCATATTTCAAACCTTTTACGTTCCAGAAATCCTTTACATTAACTGTTTTTATAATTCGAAACCATTTACTTGCCTTTTATGTAATTTTACATGTCTTTACAATTAACATTTATTCATGCAACTTAGTTTCGTACACGCACATTTTGATTACATCTTTAGACCTTTAAGAGAGAAATCGAAATAAGCCAAACACCTATACAACACTCAAATATCAACCATGAATATTTGTTCGATCATGAGAGTTACCCTAATGACCAAGGAATCCTAGGATCAATCTAGTCGATCATGTGAGTTACCAGAGGAATTGAATAACAGTCAGAAAGATTATTCGATAGTTTGGAAGACTAGCGGTTGTTTACCAGAAATCACTGGAAACAAATTGGCACACCTGATGGGACCAATAATTGGATATTAGAAATAAAGATTGTTGAGACATAACCATTATAAAAACGTTGGAACCTAAGAAGTTTGTTGTTTTATGAACCTGAGAAGTGGTAAAATAACCAACAGCAACCAACCTTTATCCAGAAGAAAACGTTTGGACAAAATGTCTAATTCTGACAATCAACAAGGGGAACAAAATGCCCCACATACAACAGGCACTAATGTGTCCACTTCGATCGGAACATCTAATGTGATCCCTTCGAATGAACAGTCTGTTGCATCTTCAACCAGTAATATAGCCACCAATGGAGTAAGTGGCATATCAACTAATAGTTCGATCTTAGGAAATACTGGAACCATTGGTTACCCTGGGGGATTCGTTCCACCATCAGGGACACAATCCCATTTCGCCACTCCATTAACTAGACCACTCGGTTTCGATAGAAATAGAACCAGAAATTCCTCTTATGGAATGCCAACATCTTTTATGGCAGGTTTACACAATTCCACATCGAATTCATCCCCACAACTAGGGTCTGGGTCTGGGGCGAATCAGTTTGTGACAAATAACCAAGGGTCAGTGGGTTATAGCACAATGCCTATTTTAACCACATAAAACCAGTTGGCTTTTAGGCAATTGATGGATGACAGTAACCATAATATGATAGGGGTGTTAGCACAAACCATGCAGGAGATATTTGCCCCAATAGTGCAAAATGTGACTGTGACAAACAGGGAAAACGCTGACAACATGAGTCGAATAGCAGATTTCTTTGCTCCCCCAGAAAGGCGTAGGCAGAATCAGGTGGGATTTCGAGCAAACATGCCTGTTATAGAACAAATTGCTAACGACCCAATTTATAGACCACCCAGAGAAGAAGTTAACTTAGGGGCCAGGGCACCAAGGTTAGAAGCCCCAATAATCTCAGGCCCACAAAGAGAAATTATGGAACCAGGGGCAAGGGTCGAAAGGCTAGAAGCCCCAGAGTTTCGAGAAGAACAACCTAGGGGAGTTGTCTTGGTTGGTCGAAATCAAGATGTCGATGCTGTCGTTCATAGAATTCGAAACGATAACATCTTGGCAGAAAACAATCTAACCACCATGATAGAGAGAGTCATGGCCCAGAATGGCCTCAACACAGAAATGAGAAGGCCAAATTATGCTTCTCCTATATTGGATTGCATAATGCATACTGATTTACCAAGGGGATATAAAGTCCCTAAATTTACAAAGTTCGCTGGGGATACCAATGAGTCAACAGTCGAACACATAGCGAGATATCTAACCGAAGCGGGAGAGCGGGAGATATAGCCAATAATGAAGATCTCAGAATTAAATACTTCCAAGTTCCTTGACTAAAAACGCCTTCACATGGTTTACCACTTTGCCTCTTGGGTCCATTAATACTTGGGCTCTCTTGGAGAGATTATTCCATGAACAATTTTACATGGGACAGTCGAAAATAAGCTTGAAGGAATTGGTCAGTGTTAAGAGAAAGTTCACCGAACCCATAGATGATTATCTGAATAGATTTAGGCTTTTGAAATCCAGATGTTACACAGTAGTGCCTGAACATGAGTTACTCGAAATGGCCGCTGGTGGCTTGGATTACTCTATTCGAAAGAAACTAGACACTCAATATTTGAGGGATATGGCTCAGTTAGCCGATAGGGTTCGACAGGTCGAAAGGCTAAAGGCCGAAAAAGCCAGAGTCTTTAAGAATAGCAAGAAAGAAAGGATTTCCTATGTTGGGACTGAGGAAGCAGAAGAATATCCTGAATTCGAATTCGAAGAGGTCGAAATCGACCTCGCTGAATTAAAACAGGCTCCGCCTTATTCCTGCAAATTATTGGTTCCCACAAAAGGGAAAGAGATTGTTGAAAATGAGAAAAGTGACAAATTCCTAAAGAAGGTTTATACCTTCGATGTCACTAAATGTGACGAGATTTTTGACTTACTTGTCAAAGATGGCCAACTAATTGTGCCATCAAATGTCAAAATACCTCCTTTGGATCAGAGAAAGAAGAGAGGATTTTGCAAATATCATAGTTTCCTAGGCCACAAAACCTCACAATGTTTTCTTTTCAGGGACCTAATTCAAAACGCAATCAAAGACGGCAGACTAAAGTTTGCTGATAAGGTGAAGATGAAAGTGGACGAAGATCCCTTGGACGTCGCAGACACCAACTACTCTGAGCCTGCATGCATTGGAGAGATCAACATGGTGGAAACTGATCAAAGCAACGCCCTAACAGGAGAGAAGGGTACTGAAACTGAAAACTGGGTGATGGTCGAAGTCAATAAGGAGGTCACTGAAGACATCCAGAATACGCCAGAGACTTCGATTGCCGCACCTGTAGCTGTTGCAAGAGAAACCCAGGCTACTGAAGGCCAGGGAAATCAAAACCAAGAACTAACACAAGTCACTGAAGGCTTGAGGCTGGAATTGGAGAAAGTCCAAATCACGAAGCCAATTTCCCCTCAGAAGGAAATATGGGACACTCTAGGGGAACCCAGTGGAAAATTTGACTATTTGGTCAAATATTCTGCCCCAGAGAGTTCGAAGGTTCAGATTAAGGATATAAAGCCCACAGGATGGGGCGATGATGAAGCTAAGGGGGAAGATGTTGAGATAAATATGGTGGATATGGAAAGGCCTCGCTCTAAGATGGAGGAAGTAGAAAAATACTTAGAAAAAGAAAAGTATAGAATGGAGGATAATCACACTGGAGATGCTAGTCTCAAGGATTACCTCATGACATGCCACAAAGGAGATTCAGGCATGATATTGTGCCCTAGGTGCAGCATCCTCTGCAATCAAAGAATCGCTGCGAATTTCGAAAGGGTACAGAGGACTTGAACTGGCAACAATTGGCGCCAGGATAACCAGCTTTTTAGGTGTTATCCCAAGGCTGGAGAAAGTTTGCTGGAATTTGTGTTTCGCTGCTACAAAGGGGCAACCAAGTGCTTGATTTGCCCAAGGTGTTCTGCTGTGTATGATCAAAGCATGGCCAGAGCCTTCGAAACGATTCCCTTCGCCCCTTGCTGGAACCATCAAGAAATTGTCCAGATGGGCCCACGTTTCGACAACAGACACAAAC